GTAGTTGCATACATATCTTAGACAGTTGAACTGGGAAGTGGTAATGGTTGATCCAAAAATGTCGCATAAAACTCTGTTGCATCCTCTGGTGTCACATTACTGATTAAAATATTTTCTGGTAAAAGTAAAACGTCATGTCCTTTTGTCGAATAGGTATTGGTCATCGAAGTGTTGGTAATAAAATACGTCCATTAGGTTGATTGTTAGTGTATTGTGGATCAGCAATTGATGACTTTATGTAATTGAGCTGCTAATGTCGCTGTGTCTTCTTCAATCTTTTCAGCCCAATCTGTTACCCCTGTAGCGATCATAACGTGACGTCCGTATGGTTTCATAGATCCCAATAGTTCTGTCTCGGTATCAATATCCAAATAACTAGGATAACTTGGATGGTCATAACAATCTTGTGTACAATCGTTGCAGTCAACAAGTTCCGTGGTAGGTGGAATTTGATCAATATCTATTGAAGGTTCTGAGGGTGTGTCCGATATCACTACTGAACCAATGCGTCTTAATAATTGACAGACATGATTTGTATATAGGCTGTTAGTACAATGCCAGAAGAAGAAGGAACAAAAAAAAGAAAAAACGAAAAAAGAAAAAAAGAAAAAATCTCAAAAAGTATTCCGAATATAATTTTATTAGGTCGCGGATTAAAAGGTTATAAAAGTTGTGAGTTGTGCCAATCAATGAAAAAAAAAAAAAAGAAAAAGAAAAAAGATAAAAAGAATAAGAAGGGAAATAGTAGAAAACTATCTTTTTTTTTTTAATCAGATTTCGAAATAGTTGGATACACGGGTCCCCAACTTAAACATTCTATTTGTGGGTTTCCCCATCTGATAAAAAAATAAAAAAATTAATTTTTTTTTCTCACCTATAATATCATCCACACGTTGAACGTTACTCATTGATAATTGAATAAATAAACGCAAGATGATATTCCTTTATTCAACAAATGCTGTCCAATCTCTCTCCTCTTCTATCTATCATATATAACTAAAATGGTAGCTTTGATATCATCCATCAGCGGAGTTGAAATCATCCTATTCTATTCTGTCTTTCTTTTTTTTTTTTTTCCTTTCTTTGCCCTTCATTCTATCCAACTATTATTATATTATTATTAGGAACCTAATGGAAACACTGAATGATGACAAGTTGGCCTATCTTGGTGACTATAAGGATAGTCAAGTAAAAAGGTGAACTGACATAAAGGGAAAGATCACGTTAATTTTTATCATTCTATTCTTTTTTTTTTTCTCTATTTTTCATAATGATATAGCCATAGATGTCTTACCCATGGAATTACAACGTAACTTTACTCTTATTCGACAATTAGACGATAGTGCTCAAGGTAAGCTGATTTTTTTTTTTAAAAAAAAAAAGGATGAACATTCAAGATAATTATCTTTTATTATTATTATTCACTGGGTTAGATCTTATGGGAAAAGTGGCACATGAATTCTATAGCACTTTGTCAAAGTCAAGTCATGTCCCTGAAATTGAAAGGAAAGAAGGTTAATTGAAATTGGCAATCTGTTAAACTGAAAGTGTGAAACCGTGGTGAAGAAAAATTTGCTTTAGCCCAAGTCTACTTATGATGCGGTAAGTACAAAAGAATAAGGAAAGAACAGAAGAAAAAAAACCTAATGAGAGTTATGATAGGTTGATCGTCATTGCTCAAGGCTAGATAACGATTTACAAAAATTTGAAGATGAACAATGGATTGGACCAAGTCGAATGGGTAGAACGCGTTCCAACTCATTACAGCAACAAGATACTAATGTTAGTCCAACCACAACAACTCGAAAACTAACTTCTACAAGACCCAGAAAATAAAAAGTAAGTATAAAATATCATGTGATGGTTCTTATTTATCAGATTCTTTTTTTTTTTGGCTCACTTGAATGATCCGGAAAAAAAAAAAAAAGAAAGATATTCATGATCTGATTTGTCACACTTGAATGTTGTACTAAAAATGATAACTTTTCTTTTTTTAGGTACTAGAACTGGACATAAGAGAAAACAAGAACTGGATCAAGAACAAGGGGATTATTTATCAACCGAAGATGCTGTACACATGCTCAAACGTAAGTTATTCTTCAAATAAGTTAAAAAAAAAAGACTTTGATATTCCATTATTTATATAGTGCAATCAATCTTAGTGATCTACCTATCGATCCTAATGAAACCAGTTTCTTGTTATTGTCCGAATGGTCTCCTATGGTGACAATGGTGGCATGTGATAATGTGAGGGTAAAAAAAAATGACATCATGTATATAATAATTAGATTGAACTTATCTTTTTTTTTATTAGTGTGATATCGAATGGTTCCATCTTGATTGTGTTGGTTTAAGGGCTCCTCCAAAAGGGAAATGGTATTGCAAGAATTGTGCCTCTGAAGTCAAGGGAAAGAAGAAACTTTAGATACCATAATTTATCATCTATCATTAGTATTATTATCGCCCACCCTCTTCATTCATTTGTACATATATATATATTCTCTATTTATTTTTGATGCTAATAATAATAATAAAAAAACGAACGATACCTTACTTTTTGTTAATGTATTTACCATTTCCAAAGTGTATATCTCTCCTTTATCATGGTTTATATTCAATGAATAAAATCAACCAATGGATCCAATATAGGTATAATTTTATCAAGTTATTTATCTGGAGTAAGGAGTGTTTTAAAAAAAAAAAAAAAAAAAAAAAAAAAAAAAGGAAACAAGTGTATGCATGCATATGTGTGTAATTGTATTTGGGATCATGATGAACAATTATTTCTCTACATGAGTAATGCATTGTAACAAAAAAAAGTCTATTTTGAAAAGATCTCTTTCTTTTATTATTTACACATATCTATTTTGGTTTTTATCATCATGTCTTGTCAATTGAAGATCCAACTATATTATATATGTGTGCTAATAAATTCATTTTTATTTACTAAAAGCATGAAAGAAAAATGGCATTGGCACTCTGTTAGCGCCACGCTTGCTTGGAAACACTGAGTTATTTTTTTTTTTTATCATTAACTGGATAATAGATGACGAATGATGATGATCCAGGGATAATGAGAATTAAGGGATGACGATGGAGAAGTCGAGGAGAGTGGTGCTAGTTTCGACGTCTTTCAGTACCTTTCTCTTCCAATCACTTTAAACCTGCCTATATCTATTGTTACCATCTAACGTTCATGCGACAACCAAGTATACACGTAACAGGATTAACTGAATTGAATACACTGAACAATAGGTCCAGGTGAGGACGCCCTTTATGGATAGCTAGTCCATAACCATATAATCTCATACCGTCCCATATCACCAATGATAACCATCTACAACAATTATGAAAAAAAAAAAAAAAAAAAAAAAAAACAAAAAAAAAAAAAAAAATAGCCTTGTCGAGTTCCCCATTCAGATCATTATTTTTCCTATAAAATAGGTAAAAAAAAAAAAAAAAAAAAAAAAAAAAAAAAAAAGGTTAAAAAAAAAAAAATTTTTTTTTAAAAAAAAAAAAAAACGAATACAAGAAGAATCTACACGAAGAATAAATCATAGACTAAAAAAAAAATATGATTCACTAAACTAGTTAGGTCGATCAAATGGTAAATCATCATCATCATCATCCTCCAGTTTGGCCCGCTTCCGTTGTCCATCCTCATTGCTTTCCTTTTCCGCCAATCGTTTCTTGTACCTAAATAACAACCGTCAGTTACCATCCTTCATCATAAAAAGAAAAACTTACAATGCAGACTCTGGGTTCTTGGCTGGATTTTTACAAGAGCGTAAACGAGCATCGATTTCTGTTGCCACACTAAGAGGAACTGGAGCATTTTCAATCAAAGTTTCATCTATAAGAATGGTCATGGTGTATAATGTATCTGCGAGTTCTTTATCCAATCGTTGTTCCAAGTATCTAATAACCAAAGAGAGATCAATCCATCAAACTCCTCTCTTTATATTATTTTTTTTTTTACCTTTTCACTCTTAAATCAAATCCATTATGTTGACCAGCAATGATGAAAGCCGCAATGGCCAATTGTGAAGGTTGATAGATCAAAGGTAAATCAGTCAATAACATCTTTTTGATGACCCCACCAACTTGATTATAAGTAGCTTGTAAGAGTTCTAGATCTATCGGATCACCTGTATGCTGAATGTCCAAGTAATAACCATATGCTGCTCGATAAGGATGATGTACCATATATTCAAATTGTAATCCTTGAGATACAGTGAATTCCAAAGAAAGTACCATATCAGTATTTGGTAATTGTAGATTTTTACCAAAATCACTAATAGAGATCCGTTCACTTTCCGATTTGGTAGCCATGAATAAACAGGTAAATCTAATACAAAAAGAACAATAGGTTAAGTAAAGTTTTTCGTTCTTCTACTCGTATGTTATTTTTACAGTATATCCTTCGGATGGTAATCCATCATGGTATTGCGTAAAAAGAAACGTTTCATATATATCAGTGCCGTTGCCTGTCAATACAATTAAAAATAAAAAAAAAAAAAAAAAAAGAGAAGAAATATATATTAGTTCATTTTAGTATCACCCAAATAAACTTATCTTACCATCACCATATCAGATAATTTCAAATGAGGACAAATCACTTGGATTTGTTCTTCATAATATCGACATAGTTTAACCTGTTCATCGGCTGTAATGAAAACTGGTTCTTTTTCTTCTGAGGTTGTTTTACTTGCTGCCTAGAAATAAAAACAAAATAGTTTATAAGCTATCCTTATTTTGATCTAAATACTCTATCTAACAAGATTGACATACGTCTTCTTTTTTTTTTTTTTTTAATCGTCTTACTTTATCCTCTTCTATGTTTTTGCGCACACGTTGTATAGCTGCTTCATTGCAAGATTGTCGTATTTCCCATAACTGTGAAGGACTGAATCGCCAATGTCGGTATTGTGAGGATTCTTCATATAAAGCTGGTTTGTTATCCATGACTTCAAAAAACAAAAAAAAAAAGGAATGTATGTGAGTATATGTACAAAAGTGGAGAATAGATTGATAAAAAGAAGAGGGGGGGGAGAGAAAGCGAAAAAAAAAAAAATCACCCGCTAGGTAAGAAAATTCATTCACCCACAACTTGTAGACCAAATATAGAAATGGCTTGGTTCGACCACAAAGATGAATTTTTGTTGCTGAACTTAACGAAATTTAGATGAAGGAGAGGCTTGTAAGCCGTTGAATTGGGAAATACTTTTTTCCATTGAAACAGAGCTTCGCTTCTTATTTAAAAACATTCCACAACATCTTTTTGAAGATCAAGGGATTTTGTAGTCTCATCAATCGTTGAGTCCGAACGGTATTCCCACATGATCCAGTTTGGAATTTAGAATTGATACAAATCAAATACACTTTTTTTACAAAAAAAAAAAAAATACTAAACATATTCAAAAAAAAGGTTTTCTTTATTGTTTGTTTGTTTGCTTGTTTGTTGTTCTTTTTTTTTCTAAAAACTAGTCGAGAGATAACAAAAAAAAAAACATGGCAGCTAGCTAAAGATATAAATGTATATGTAAATAATAAAAAAAAAAAAGGGCAAAAAAAAAGTGTACATAATTC